TTTGTCTTTCTGTTGTATAGGAGAAATGGGGGACAAAGGACAGAAAGGCAGCATAGGACGGCATGGAAAAATTGGTCCTATTGGTTCAAAAGGTATGCTTAATTCAATTGTTTCTCCATTTGTGTTTCAGATGAAAATGTGTGATCATTTATGTTTGAGAAAAGTTTAGGGTCTTGAAAAGTGGTTACCAAGTCTCAGAGCTTACCCTGATGGAAATTTTCTCACACTGTAGTCAGCCAGGTTACTGACATCTCTCAGCCAGCTACCTTTTCCTCTGACAGCAGTATATTTAGCCTTAAAGCAGCATGAGTATCCTGGTTTGAGGCTAAATAAAGAACTTTGTTCACTGTCACACAAGAGTGAACAGTTAAGAGAAGTAGGTGGAAGATGCACTGTACTTTGACAGACTTTTCAGCAAGAACCAGAAGACTTGCTTTCTAATGTTGCCTACTCCATAGTGACTTCCTATGTGACTTTGGTTGAGTCATTTGGACCAATGTTTACCTAAGCATCTAGATTATGATTTTAAATTTGGGCATATCCAACCCTTTTCCCTCTGCAGCATCTGAATTTACTGGTTCTGTGAAGTTCATGAATGTCAAAAAGTGGATATTGGTATATATTCTTTGTGTTGAAATTTCATAGCTTTGTCAACCTTTGTTGTGGAATGAATAGGACAGAAAAATCTTTGTTTTTGCTTGAGCATATTTCTACTTTCCACATTTGAATGTTACTAGAGAAAAAATAAGCAGGTGCTAAATGAACTATTGACGAAAAAACCTGCCTTAAATTTATATTCTTTTTCATATCTTTAGGTGAAAAAGGAGATAATGGTGACATAGGACCACCAGGTCCTAATGGTGACCCAGGTAATCCATAACACACCTTGTGTATGTGAAAGACTTTACAACATGCATGCATCATCACCAAAAATATGTCTGTTTACATACTGGGGGAAATAATGAATAATTTTTTGCATAGGTACTATAATATTTCACTGTGATATTTTCAAATTACTTATAATAATTGAAGTTGCAGTAGTTGCTAGATTTGTAGTGTATGTGTTACAACAGTGTCTCAGAGTTGTCAGAGATGTAACCTCTCCAGAAGTCTGATGGGTACCAAAGTGCAAACTGTCCATATCATTCATTACCAGTGCAAAGGGACATCTCTGCATATCCCACTCTGTCTTCCAGCCAACACAAAGGAGCAGGTTAGAAGCTCCTACCCCGGCATGGATTATTGTTATAGGACCAGGAGATTATCAAGAATACAGATCACAGAATCCCAGAATGTGTCAGGTTGGAAGGGACCATAGTGGGTCATCTGGTCCAAGCCCCTGCTCAGGCAGGGTCATGGCACAGGATTGTGTCCAGATAGTTCTTAAACACCTTCAGTGAGGGAGACTCCACAATCTCCCTAGGCAACTTGTTCCAGTGTTTGGTCACTGCACAGTAAAGAATTTCTTCCTCATATTCGGGTGGAACTTCTTGTGCATCAGTTTCTGCCAATTGCCTCTTGTCCTTGGCACCACCAAGAAGAGCCTGCCTCCATCCTCTTGGCATCCCCCCCTTTGGATATATATATTAATGAGGTATATAGGTCTTCCAGAGGTATATAGATCTTCCAGAGAATCAGGTGAAAGCCTGACATAAGAAGTGTAAGCCTTACAAGAGCAGCAGGTTCAGATTTGACTGAATTCGTCCCTTCCTGGCAGAGTGCACTAGAGGTGCACCAATTAGTTTTCTCATGAGAATATCATTTGTCACTCTAATTCTTGAGCCAGAGTACCATATTTCTAGCCATCATGCACAGATTTGCAGGGCAAGTACCCTGTGCTTAGACTGACTTAGACACCTAAGATGATTCATTGGGTAGTCAAATGCAGCTTTAAATACTTACACAGAGAAATGCAAACTGAAATTGATCCTCATGGAGATTTGTGCTCAAAGATGTAACAATTATCCTTTTAGTATTCACATTCAGATTAGCTTTGTCAAACCTATACCAATTTTGGTTAATAGATGGTTTTCTATTGTCTTGTTATATTGTAAGAGTTACTGTAAATTCTGTATTTTCAAAAGTACAGAACTTCATTTCACTTCAAATGGTTGGAACTTTTGAATCTGCTGTGTTATGTTCCTTGCGAGGGATGCCAAACAATGTGTGTGCAGGTTTTTGCTGTGAAAGAAGTGCTCTGTGAGAAAACTGAAGAGAATAATTTTACTGAAAATGGGAAATTTTGACAAAAGTTTTTAGTTGTCAAAGAAATTGTGGGTTTTTTGCAGAGAATATCTATCTGTGTTTTGATTAGCACTAATCATGCAGGGCTGAAGCTCCATGAGAAGTGAGCTGAACTGTTCTGCATAGTCCCATACCCCCTGAGAACCATATAATGGTGCAGGGTAGTGAAGGTTCTAATTTTCTGTCTGTTATTTGCAAGACAGCCCTCTCCAGGGCTGTCAGGCTGGGCCTTTTCATAGGCTTGTTCAGATAACTATTGAAATTGGGTAGCTTTTTGATTTGGGTGTATCCGTATCATTTCACAGGCATCCCCTGTGAGTGCAGCCAGCTAAGGAAGGCTATTGGTGAAATGGATATCCAAGTAGCCCAGCTGACAACAGAACTAAAATTCATAAAAAATGGTAGGTTAATTTTATATAACTGTTTTTCTTTCTTATTGCCTCATTTTACCGGTGCAATTGCTCGTAGAGAGTGTCACCGTTCCACACCTGATTTGTGAAGCTATTTTGGGGTGTACAGTGACTTGGTTCATAGAAATGCGAGTGCTCACTTTTCAGCACTGCCCTCCTCCGCAGCTGTTGCTGGTGTGCGTGAGACAGATAATAAGATATATCTGCTGGTGAAGGAAGAGAAGAGATACAAGGAAGCCCAGCTCTACTGTCATGGAAGAGGAGGGACGCTGAGCATGCCCAAGGATGAGACTGCCAACAGTCTGATTGCCTCGTACATCAACCAAGCTGGGCTCACCAGAGTCTTCATTGGGATTAACGACCTAGAGAAAGAGGGAAATTTTGTCTATTCCGACCGGTCACCCATGCAGACCTTCAACAAGTGGCGCAGCGGGGAGCCCAACAATGCTTACGATGAGGAGGACTGTGTGGAGATGGTGGCCTCTGGAGGGTGGAACGATGTTGCATGTCACATTACCATGTATTTTGTGTGTGAATTTGACAAAGAAAATGTCTAAGCTTCTCTGCTCTTTCTTTATTTGAAGAAAAGTTTTTAAGCCAATTTTACAGGTTACTCCATGTTTATGAGTTCAAGTGGCATTTTGCAAGTATGTGGCACCAATGTTGTACAGCTGTAAATACAATTTAGGTATTTCAAATATCAGTATTTACCCTTCAGAAGGGAAGAGCAGTAATAAGACATAGCTTGGGTTTTTTTTTTTCTGTAGGAAAATATATATATTTAGATAAAAATGTGGTTTGGGGCTAAATTTTGCCCTTACAACAGTTAACAAATGTGATTACATGACTGTAAGGGAAGGCAGAATTTGGCCTCTAGTTGTTAGAATGATTAGAATTAGATTCCTGATATTCTTTTATCTTAGCAAAATTTGTAGTTATAAATGTTAATTGCTTGTAGTCCTACAGGGATATTTCAGCAACAAGACAAATATTTTGTATACTCCAGTTAATTAGTACAAATATTACTGTAGGTTTGTTGGTTGTTAAAACTTTTTTTTTTTTAAACAGCCAAAGCAAGCCAAGAAATAGGAAGTCCTACCAATTTTGTAATGTTTCTTTATTAAACTGTTCACAGATGTATGACGAGAAAGCGTTTAAGTAAACTGGGTTTAAGTGCTGAGGGAGGACAAAGTCTAGAGAAAGGTGTCCCTGCCCCCAGCAGAGGGTTAGAACTAGATAAACTCTAGGGTCCCTTCCAACCCAAACCATTCTATGATTCCATGATTCTATGATATAAAAGTTCTTATAATTTAGTACTTAAAGAGGGTTCCCATCCAGATGGTGTTTTGGAGTTGGCTAAAGGGAAAACTAAGATTATGCTTTTCTGCATTCCTTAGTTGAGAATGATTCAGTGCATGAAGTATTTCAGACCCCAGATAATTTCTTAAAGTAAGCACGTTTCACATTAAGATGATCTTGGTGCATCTTGTTACAAAACAAGCAAAATACTAGCCCTCCACAATTTAAGGCAGATTTCATAAATAGACAATGAAGCTCATAGAAACGCTTTAGCTAGCAGATCCTTTTGGCAGGAAAACAGCTTACATGTTCACAGAGCTTGTAAGGATGATCCCCTGAAAGGAAGAAAAGTTTCCAAAATTTTCCTGATCCTGTATATAGCAGTAATAAGTAACTTTGCACAAATAATTTATGTACCAAATTTACAATTACATGTGATGGAAAATGTGATGTATATTTAAAAAAACCCCAACAACATCACATTTCACAAAGGAAATGATGAATTACTTTGGATCTTTCTAGAAGCCAGGTGCATGCCATCTTATCTCACTGTTAGGCGTAGGAAAATCGGCAAAATCTCTGACTGCATTTCTTCAGGAATACCTTGCACAGTGCTTTAAGATTATTTTTAAGGTAAATGATCCTTTGCATAACATACTAATCAAAATATGTATCTGCTTATTACGGGAGATTGGTATACAAGATATCCACAGTGGATATGACATGTGGTCCCAGAGATTTTTCTACAAGGCAAAACCAACTCATATCAACTCTGCAGTGCTGTAGTATGTAAACAATCAATAGCCATACAATTCTGTTCATATCCACAGAGTCTGGCATTTGAGTTGTCTACCTACAAGAACAAACCATTTTGCTTACTATATTTACTCTGTGAATTTGAATCCTTTATGTATATATGTTTGCTATTAATTTTGAAGATCATTATCCGTACTATAGTATCCTATATTGTTTGAATATCAGCCAAGCTCCAGAGCAATTACTCAAAATGAATGGGTCCTTTGATTGATTTCCTTTCTTTTAATAAAGATAGGTATGATACCTATATGTTAGTCATTCTTCCAACTGCATATTGAAATATATGAAATAACGTGAATCTGGTTCTACATTAATATTCAAAGACTCTTTGCAGAATTTTCAGGTAGTTAACAATGCCAGTAGAGCAATTTGTTTAGAATCACACCTTTTGAATATCATGATTGTTTCCTGCCTGCTGTAGAAATCCTCACAAACCATTTAAATTTCCAACACACTTTTGTCAAATTATTGTAGCTATATTCAGACAGCCTGAACCTGAGATACCTGGAGCTTCCTCGTTATGTGTGCTGAAGTTGCTGTTTATTTCTCACCTAGGTTTTGAAAGTCTCTGTTGTATTGTTCAGTTTCCTCAGAAAGATGAAAAGAGGCCTTTTAGAGAGGTGGGAAGCTTTTTGAGATGCCAGATGCTCCTATTACAGCTGGAAGTCAGACAACATTTTAAAGATTGCCTTGATGTGGAGAGTATTAAGCAGTCTCAATTTCTGTAAAAATTTAGGATGAAAAATAAAGGCAATGGAAAAATAATTTATTTCCACTAGTTTTCATGTTCTTCAGGATATAGTTTTGCAGTACTTGATGTGTTGGATAGAAACTAGTTTCATTGTCAGATCCCTGTACAGTGGCTACAACAGCCCTTATTTCATCATTTGGGCAAGAGGAAGAAGGCTACTGTGTAAGGTCTCTGGCTGTCCTGCAAGAAGCGACGATTGCGCATCTGGTATTTACCCCTTTGAGGAACTAGGCAAGAAATGATGGAGGGGTTGGAAATGAATGAGCCCTTCATCATTTCTTTCACTATCTAGTTGCTGACCTCCATAGGTGGGCATTACAATGCAGGTTTTAATGCACATGGAAAATACTCCAAATAAAAGTACCTTATAATTAATTTCATTTTTTTTAAACAATAGTTCCAAATTCCACTGAGACTAGTGGAAACCTTATCAAGCATGTCAGCAAGCTTCATGCAGGCTGAGCATTACATGCAACATTGATTTCTGCCTCCAGTTGAAGGCTGACAAGTTAGTTCTATTTGAGGTATTTTCCATGTGCATTAAAACCTGCATTTTAATATCATTACACATTTTCTGTGGTTCTGTGGAAGCCTTTGGAGCATGTCTGTCCGGGAAGAAGGCACAGGTGTTTCTCAGACTGTTCCTATATGCTTTATTTTTGATTGGATGATTTTTCCTCATAAATGCTTCCCCATAGCCCTTATTTATTTTATTCTTAAATAAAGGGCATTCTGGAGATTTTAAGAAGGCAACAATAGCATTTGCTTTTTGTAATATAATATAATAATAACCCATTCATGTGCTTGAATTACATCACATAAAATTTGTATTTCATTCAACTATACACCACACCTTTTGCTGCCAAGGCTGTGTTGTTGTATTACTGATGCCAGGGCCAGATGTGCAATCCTGCTCTAGGAGATGGCTTGGTAAAGGTGAAACATTTAACTGTCTGAGTCCAAGGGGAGTCCCATTGCCACTGAGAGCTCTGCTTTGCTGTGGACATCTCAGGAGAGCACTGGATCATGTCTGATCCTGGTCACCATTCAGATTTGCCATTCCACATCCTGACTCCTTGCTGGAAGGTGCTGCTCCCAGTTGCCTTGTTATCCTGCTTAGCTCCTAGCTTGCCATCCCTTGAGAACCAGCTGCTCCTCACTGTGCTCTGACAGCTGAAACGATTATCCCTGGAGATATGGGTTTGTTACAGGTTTGTTAGCATCAGAACTTCTCCCTGACTGTGAATTTTACACAGTCTTATATCACAGAGAAGAACTGTAAAAAAAATTAATATTCATACATGGGATGTAGAGCATCCTTATTCATGTAAGTAAAATGGAGTTCTTCATTTTTCATAAGCTCAGGAAATGCCAGTTTAAATATGCATTACAAAATAGCAGCTGGTTGGACTTTTTTGTTACAGATTTTGATGAAAAGTGAAATAAGATGTAATTAAAATAATTTTAATTGTAAAATACTATTAAGGTTTACAATGGACAAAGAGTTTTGAAGTAGACATTTTTCAAAATTTTTACTTTTGGAATTTTTCAGAATTTAATTTCTGAGTTCTAAAACTTTATTTTGACCCATAAAGGGATTAGATTTTTATGTTATTGTTAATATGTTTTACATCATGTCAGTGACAGTGTTCAGTGGAATGCTTGAAAGATTTTACTTTATTCTTTATGTCTTGATTTCCAATGGGAACAAGTTATCTTTTTGAGGGTTCTGTTTGCCATACTGAAAAAGTTTGATGTTGCAATTGCTTTCTTCTTCTGGGCTTGCTATGACCCTGTAAATACTGTGAATATACAGCAATAGATAGTTCAACCAACATTACAAAGAAGATATTCTTACTGATTATGAAAATTATTCATTTAAGTATTATGCCTTATAATTATCAGTTTATGCACTATCACTAATGTCCAAACCAATCATTAAATGCAAGATAAATGCAAGAGTTTTAAAACCTGAAAATCTTACATATACACTTTCATCCTGAATTAAAACACAAAGATGTCAAAGTAAGCAAATTTACAGTAAAGCAGAAACTCAGGGTTTCCCCTAGGTCTAGATACAGATCTAGTTTTTGTGGGAAACTCAGTGACTTGTGATGCTTATGGCTGAGTCAAATCCTAGAGTAGAGAATTAGCCAACAATGCAGTGATGTGCGACTTTCCCTCTTGTGCTTTCTAAACTACTTCCCCTTAGCCATTATTTCCAAACGTTCTTCTCACTTAGCTCTGTATATAAATATGTGATGAGTTTGTCCCAAGGATCAGTCTCTTTTCACTGGAGATTCTGGTTTTTAATTTTTGGCTTGCCCTGTGGTGTCAACAGGTCCATGTCAATCAATATTTGCCACAGGTTATGGACCAAGAGATGGGTATTTTATCCACAGCAGGTAGCTAGAAATGCTCCATGGAACCAGCTGTGATGGGAGAGGTATTGTGCAACACTGGAGCTGGCCACTCACTCATTCTCTGGGGTGCATATTTCTGGTCAGGGAAACACAGTCCAGCCTACCAAGAGAAGAACTGACCTTGTTATTGTGTGTAAAAAGAAATTAAGAGTCTTAAGATTTACCTAGGGAAAAAATTGTGCAGTGGAGGATTTTGGCTATTTACTTTATAGAGTAGCTGTGAGAAAGAACAGTTTGGTTTTAATTTTGCCGTGTTAGGAGAGTACAAACTACGTGAATTGGGAGAGAAAGGGTTTGTGGAGAGGACAGCAGCTGTGTGCTCAAGGTGTTTTTCTGGATGTGAGTCTCCTCCTAGCCAGGAGCTTTTCAATTGGATGAGAAGGGGAGTCCTCTCAAGAGGGAGAGCATGAAATAGAAAAGGTGGGAGAAGCGATGAGTGGATGTGCAGAACTGGCAGTGAGTGGGATGCCCAAGAGGCGGAATGTAAATGTTACCTCCAGCCATTCTCCTGCTTCCTGCTAGGGAAATGTAATTATCTTGCCCTTTCCATCAAAATGTCTCACTATAGCTCTGGATGGATAGCTACAAAAATAGAAGGAGGTGACCAATTTAGCATAATGTCTCTGTTTAAATAAAGCCCAGTTTGGGTCTATGGCCAAATAATAGCATCCACTGCACTCTGGGTATATTAATGCCTGAAATCACAGGGGATATAATTAAGCACTGCTATTCAAAGGCTAGCTATGTAGTATTGATGAGCTTCTGGGTATTCTTTACATATAAAAGTGTGAATACTGCCAAGAATTCATCAACAGAAGGTCTGGTGTGCAGCTGAACGATACGTGCATTACCACACTGTCATCTAGTGGCAGTAAGAGGCAAAATGAAGGAGCTGAGTTTTGCTTCTGCTTGCATCAGTTGCTATGTTATTGAGTGCAATCACTGATGCTTTATAGAACAACTGATTTTCCAGCTCCAAAGTCTTTAGTCAGCTTTCTTCTTCTCTTTGTGAAAAGATTATTTTGAATTATTACAAAGAGACGTGCACTGATTTTAAATCCAATTCTCAGGTGGAAGTTTTGACTAAGAAGTGAGAAGTGTGCCCAAATGAGTTCAATTATCATGCCTTAGAATGAAGCAAAAGAAAACAAGTCAAGCTGTGCTCTGCAGGCCACCACCTAAATTGCAGGTGCAGATCTTCACCTGGCATCAATCAACTCCAGTGAGGCCAAATTGATTTATACCTGCTGAGGATTTGACAAAGTATTGTCATCAATTCTAGATCTATGCTTATTTTAGAAAAAGAGAGAGTGGTATTTTGATATTTATAATTAATTCTGATCACTGTTACTTAAAGTCTGAGCTACTGTAATGAGTGCATCTCCCACGGAAATTTCTGGGCTATAATCAGTTGTGAGACAAATATTGAACATAAAACAGTTGAAGTAGATGTATGATGTGAAACTTTACCCTTGC